CCCGCTGTTTGCGATCTCGCCCGAGATCGATGTCACCTTTTTGACTTCTAGTCGCGTTGCTCACCTCAACACGATTAACTTTACATTCGACCACGAAAATTAGCGCGTAGACAACTTTTTCACAACCAGGGATCTGTGTTACATGATATTGAAAAAGCTCTATCAATGTTGTAAAATTGTCTTACCAAGGCGTTGTGTAATTGTGGGTTCATGTTCGCTGTGAAGGCATAGGTAGTATCTAAAAAAACATACAATCCATTGAAGTGCCCAAAAATAACTTGAAAAGAGGGTTACGAAGGCTGGAAGTGAGTAAATGCAAGCTATTAACACGACGCGATTGTTAAAACTAAAATAAGACCTTATTTCAGAGAAGTTACAATTAGAAATACATAAACTAATAAAAATTGGCGCAATAGAGGGAGTACAGCAGATCCATCGATGAACCAAATGATGTTTCTTTGTGGTAACGTTTTAACGGGGTGGCCCGTTACATGATTTTGACACCAAACGGTGTCAATAGGGATATTGTCTAGCACGACAATTCCCTGCCAATATTATCCGAGATGGATAATAGTGAAGGAATTTATCCCCTTGGAGGAAATTGACATGCGCTGCTCAAATAATGGTTGATAAAAGACATGTCAACCAAGGTTACCACCAATCGCTGCTAGACGCGCGTAATGAGTGGTGAGCAGGTTGTCGTCATACGAAAATGTGGATTAATATAGTTTGATCAAGACTGAAGTTATATTGATAGCCTAACTATATTAAACATAGTTCTCTTTTTGCCCTTAACTTAAACTAGCTGTATAGTAGATTAGCTTCCTCTGCACGTACTAGTGTACGTGAAGTTTCGTGGCACCCATACAGAGGGTGTTCCGTTACAAACGTAGATTGGTCTAGGTCTATGTTCGAAGCATCCTCTGACGCGACTTTTAAAGTTTTATTACTCAAATAGGTGGCGAAACAGTCGAAATTTTGCATGTGAGTGGAGCTACCTCAAAAAGAGATCTTGCCGAATAATTGAGTCTATTTTGAATCCTGTGTATTTACACTCTGTTACCTACAATTATTACCTCCTTGTCTCAAACTGTTGACTCGCGTAAAGACACGCGCAGAGTCCGGACTTTTCAAGATGCTCTCGTGCCCGCGTCACCTAAATTAAAAATCTCTAGAGTCAGTATAGGAGCCAGTGCTTGTGGTAGCAGCACTTTAAAATGACCCGAGCTGAGTTTACATAACGATGCATGCCTGAGATGCGTTGACATTTATTTGGTCACAATGAAGTAGCTTTATCCAGGATGGGCTTGACCCGCAGCACAGCTATCTTCTGCCTTGATCAATACACGAACACAATCCCACCGGGTAACCGTTTTACTCGCATCATTGCGAGCCCGAAGGGTGAAGCTATTAGTGACTGTGCGAAAGCTGAATGCCAAGGTTTCACATTGTAATTATCTGTGTGTGCCTGTGTGGCTGTCTATAAATAAAGCGGATCGGCGTTACCTTGCAGGCACTCAGTGCGATCTAGCTTGTCCCCTCACAATAGGTGCATAGGTACAGTCACTCCTTGGCTAATTCACTATTGTGATGCACGTACGTGATTGGCTTTGGTGTAATGCATAGATTAACAGTATCAGACTTCTTTTACAGTAGCTGCTGCTGTTGTATAGTGTTTTGCAACTTGATCCAGCTCTCCGAACTGAAATGCTTCGATCAAAGGGCGAGCTACAGAGCTTGCCCCCCCCATTTTAAAAATATGTTCCGTTACCAGATGGAAAAAACGAATCTATTCGTTTAGTGACAGCTAATTATTGACGCTCAGTATACGTGAGATGCAACGTCGGCCTTGTCTTGGTGACCCTTTTTTTCGATACATGTTTTTGTGGTGCAGCGTCGATTGGCTTTTCGTCGAGTAGCAATGCACCACACAAAAGCATCCGGGTATAGGACGACGAACGGATCAGCTCTCAAGAAAAGTTCAGGATCATGCGGTCAAGCCACGCGAAAGCCACAGAACGTCGAGCCAGTAAATAATGGCGTACAACCTTTAGGTGAACTCCGTTTGGACTGTGCAAATATGCAACTTTCTGTACACACAATTACATCGATTCGAACCCATGTGCGTCACCACTAAGCTGCTTATATTAACCATCTACGTGTAAGACATAATTACGAAAATCTGTATTGGTGATTTAAAAACTGAGTCGGCACTTGACTTGACTCAACAACTGATTGGTAAGGTCGTACGTATACCAAGCAATAAAATACAGTGACCTACACATGACGTTATTACGTACCAGGATTCAAAAGAGCCAGAATCGACTCCTTTGAGTAGCTGCTTAACGAGTCGGCATTTAATGTTATACTTGAGATACGGTGTCGATGCATATTTGCATATTGGTCGTCAATGCCACGACTTGGCTATCAGGCGAAAGCTGCTTATAGGTGCCTTGTTACTCACTGGCACCATTGAGATTTGTTGTTATGTGTACCTCCTTCGATTTAACGGCACACAAATGACCAAACTGAGCATGTGGTCACAAATGCCTCAACATTGTGTTTGCCACGCGTAATGTAGACGTCTTAGTCATATAGTCATATATGTATTGTTTCGTCATCATATGACGTAAATAATCATTTATTTTTTAGTCATGTGAAATATTCTAGTTGTTTTCTGCATTATTTGGTACATTTTCTTTTTACCCTACGTAAAGGCAGCTGCTAACAGCGATGTTGAGTTTTTTTTATAGCTACGTTCAGTTTTTATAGCTGGGTTCAGTTTTATCTAGCTGGGTCATTTCTAGGTACATGGTAAAATTACTGCAACTCGGAACTAATGTTGTTGCATCGTCAAAAGAGCGTTTTTTCAAAATCGACTTTCTTTGTGACTACTTCGCTGAAAGGGTCCCTCGCGATAGCTCCGTGTTTCATCTATTATGTACGATTACCTCTTGCAGACTCAGTTTTCGTTTTTTTATTCCGTGCGCCAACTCCAGGTGCTATCGGGCGCTCTCCGCGATATCGCAAACACCAAAGTTTACATATTCCTGACGCAAATGCAATTGCAAATCTCTTTCTATTGTTACATTGTGAGTCTTGATTTTTGCGAGCCCAAAGGGCGAAGCTATTAGTGACTGTGCGCAAGGTGAATGCCGAACTTTACAAATCGCATTACCTGTGTGTCTATTGAAAATACCGGAATCACTCTTTGGTCACTAAGTGCGACCGCGAAGTGTGTAGTGTCCACGCACGCACCAATGCCGTACGTGATAGGCTTACAAGTGACGGAGGGCGGACAGGAGAGATTTGGGCAAATAGTAGACGCCTGAGGCAGCGAAAGTCTTGCACCTTTCGCAAACAGTGCGAAGTGGTTTTGATCTGAATTACTTGAATCACTAAGAGATTATGATCACGTTTTTATCTCGGTAGCAGTGGAACCTCCTTCCATTTTATTTCTCTTTAATGTGAATAAGTTTATGTCGCGGCTGCATTCGTTGTTTACGGTTTTACCGATCAGGATCTTCCCATTCCGTTTTATAAAACTCATCTGTTTAGAATACCGACAACATCAACGAATGAACCGATTGAATACACATTATCCTTCATCACCCTTTTTCAAAACACACAGATTTCTACGTCATCTTTATCGATAAAACACACAGAATTCAATTGAGTTCCTAGCCGCTGACCACTGGAAAATGGCACGTGAGTATACAGAGCTTGATTCAGTTCTCTGGACTGAATTACTTATACCAAAGGGCGAGTTCTAGAGCTAGCTCCCCTATCCTAATCCTTAGAGGCGACTAATCATTTCCAGTGGTTGTACTGACCGACGTGAGGCTTGTGTATATTTGGACGACCACATGGGATTGCAGTACAGTTGGGATCCTAGAAAGTCGGTGAGAGCCGTAAGAGAAAGGTGTGGTTGCAGCAAATAAAATAATCGGTCCTAGTCACACGCTTGATAAATTGTGTCGTGGCAAAAGCTTTTCAATCCTCCAAAATCTATGCGTAAAATATATGGCGGGCTATCCACCCATACTTATAACGTACTGCGCCATCTCGTCCAGACATCGATTCGTGCGCTGCTTCCTATAAATAACACATGTACTCTAAAGCTCGGTGGATCTTATGGACGATGTCTGTCTACACGCATCTGTAGTATCATCATTGCATACGGTATACATACGTCCATGATCAAATGCTATGGCATAGCGGAATGCTTGACGCCGGGTCAATCATTCACCGAATAAAAAGTCATAGCGATTGTGTCATTAACATGCAAATTAACTCTGTCCCGGCCAGCTGTACTGGTCATCAAGAGCTACTTAAGCGGATACCGTTTCGTAAGCTGACAAATAGCGTCGGGCCCAAGGGGTATCCAATTAAAGAGGTTCGACAGCCTGACATCTCGCAGCTTTTACGTCAGAAGAGTGTAATACCAAGCCATGGCTCAGTATCCATCATAAAAATAGCCTGCTGTGCAGAGCCAAGGCCGTCCATCACCCGTGCTCAGGTCGAACTCAACGGATCATCTTGAGATCTGTATGATACGGCAGACCAGACGAATAGAGCCAAATATGACACAACCTAATCCGTGCGGTCGTAGGATGAGTGCTTTTACGCACTTGCCACATCCAAAAGTACCTATGAACGAATGCTTCCAGCTCAGTAACTTGGCAGGACTCCCGAGTCCGCTGGTTGAATCCATAAAGCCGAACGGATACTCGTCCGTGCGTGTTGATAGAGAAAAGTAGTTGTACCTGTGTTATCTGCTCCCCCTTCTCCACGAGCAAGTAAGAAAATGCTTCCGACTCGGAGACATCTCTTTCAAACCCCGCCCAAGGCGACCGACCAGGTTGAAGCAGCTCGACTGACACTGGTCTGACTGTTCAAGGGACAGGTGACTCCCTCGTCACGCATGCCACGCGCTGCACAAGTTCATTCAAACATTCATCTCGGACTTGAAACTCAAGACACTTGGCCCACCCCCACCAATGCGCCATCGCGTCCTTCTTGTCCTGTTCGTGGCGGCCACGTTGGTCCAGTGCTGTATCTGCTTCGCCAGCGCGGACTTGAACTCGGTGGAAGGCCGTATACTCGAGATTGCCAAGATTCGCCGTCTTCGAGGGGCAGGCTCCACCCCCCAAGAAGAAAGAGGGCTCCTTGATGCATTCAAGCGAATCTTCTCAAGTCCCTTTTTGGAGAAAGAGGAGATGCAGCTCCGGCGCATGATCCATGCCCAGCCCATGGGGGATTCCCTCCCTCATGATCACAAGATCATGGTCCCTCCTGACCGACCATCCCCAAAACAGTTCACAGTTGCTATAATCGCAGCGCTTTCGATGCTCGGAGCGCTCGGTGTGTGGTCAGTCCATAAGGCTAGCAAAATCAATGCCCCGGCGACTTTGGCGAGCATGTCGGGCTCGACGATGGGCTCAGGCTCAATGTAGTCATGCATCTAGTAGTCAAACCGCTGTATCGAAAGACGTTAATATGGGCTTTTCCAAGGTTGTCTGTCCCTAACGTGTGTGTTTTTTGCTAGCTGTTCGTATCCATGAAACAGCAGTAGCAGCTAGCACCTGGATCTAACACGCACTCGCTCTCGCTCGTTCTCTGCTTGGGCTAACTTGTGATGTTGTTATGTCGATCCGACTGTACGTGGCTCAAGTCGAAGACATCGGGTGGCAGCTGGAGTACGTGCTGTATTTGGGTGGGTCGAGAAGTTTTCAAGAACCGCTGGACTTGGTGCAGCTGTATGTGTTAGCTGCCTTGTCGTTTAGTCCAGATGGTCGTGTTTACGTGCTTTGTGGACGAGATGCAAGTGCTTGTGAAGAAGCTGATGACGGGAGCGCCGTGGAGGTTACCAAGCACACGATTGTGTAGGTGAAGGTGAGCGAGAGGAAGCTTCTATGCTGCTGGTCCGAGCCAGTCGTGGTGAAGAGAGATGGGCTGTCGACGCTGGCCAAGATCGTGGCCATCATGTGTAGCAGGAATTCCGTCCCGATGTCTTTCTTTGCCGAACGCCGCACAGCGCACAGTCGTAAGTCGAAGGCAGCAGCGCGACGAGAGCTTTTGGGAATGAGATGGTCCGATTGGACTTGATCGTGTCTACGAGTGCTAGCCGTCACTGTGGCTCGTTCTCGCTCGGACATTCTTCATCAATTGGTGCTGCTGCTAGACGACTTATCAAGTACTTGCGTCCAACTGTGGTCACTCTTTTATTGGAGCGTGCGAGTTCTCGGCCAATGTCTGTATCGTGACGAACTTGTCATGCCTTCCGTAGCAGATGCTATCGTCTGTCTAGAGTAACGGGTGTTGGCCTTTAGATGAACGAATATTGAGCAAGTCATGTTCGCGTCTTGAATCTCGACCAGTCACGGTACTTGGAAACGACAGTGGAGGCCCACGATCACCTCTGCGCATGGAAGAGCTTGGGTCGATTGGTCTGCAGGCAACCAAAGTTGCGAGCACTCAGTGGTGTTTGCCATCACCTGATGCAGAGACTCGATCGTCACCTTCAAGCTCAATCTCGCCACTTGTACTCCGAAATTGACTCCGGCACATTGCCACACTTGCAACGATATCGCTCCTGCTCCACCGGGTGTCCGCATATGCACGTTCGATGTCAAGTTGTAGATGCGTTCTTGAAGCTTCAAGACATTGGTTCTTGTCCCTCAGGATGATGCGGTTCTGGCGTGGATCGTTGATCACACCTTGAAGACATGTCGCGGTCTCTTGCCCAGGTCGATACGGCCTTGGCTTGAACGGCAGTTCTAAACGTGACCGACACACTGTGAGCGATTGCTTTTGCCTTCGGCTGTCTGCACACCCGGCTATCTGCGACCGACACAAGATCCTGCAACATGCTGCACTCGACACACGAAGTGTTCACTCTCACAGTAAGTTCCTGCTATCAGCTCGCTTGTCTTCTCGGATAGCTACAAGAGGTTCGTGTTGCTGCTGTTCGGGCAACGTGCTCTACCAGTTCAGCATGCGAGTTTTCATTCGCGCTCGTGAAGCCAGCACCCGTCACACCGAAAACAGTCAAGTGTCGCTTGGACCCACTCAACGCTGCCAACACATGAAAAGGTTTGAGCGGGATTGAAGCTCACGCTTCCAGGGTAGCTGCCGTCCGTGTCATAGTGCTTCAGACTTCGGTCGAGGAAGTCAACGTCATACTCACCGTCACTGGAGCAGGGGCACCGACATGCAAGTGATGAAGATGAGCGCTGCAGCAAGATTGATGTAGACTGCCTGCGTGCCTAGCTACCCGCATGAACAAAGTCGCCGCTGAGGTCGCTGCTGGCCCGCAGTAGTTCGCGCAAGACGAAATGCTCGTAGCTTTCCAGCTGTTTCATTGATTGAGCCTGTGGACAAAAGCCATCGTCTTGTCAAGATGATCAGGCTGGTCTTGGCACGATGCTTTCAATGGCCCCTTCAAGAACATCGGATCTCACTTGCTGTCGATCTCACTTTGTGGCTCGATCTACACACGAAGCAGCGGCTAACGTGCCCAAACCCGCGAATTGCTGCTCTGCAGCTCGCCGATGCATGTTTAATTGAGATTGCACCACCCGTTGCGTGAAAATAGCCACAAAGCGCCGCAACTTTTCTCCATTGGGCTTTTCTAGCTGGTGGACGATGTCGCGTATGGTACGGGATCAGTGTGCCAATGCTGACCAAATACTCTTGTCCCGCAACGACTCTAACCTGATTATGCCACAGCTTCGGATGGACTGGCAGCTAAAGACAGCCGAGCAAAAGTGAGTACCATAAACCAGGCCTCAAAATTTTCTAGATCTGCTATAAAAAGCTGTTGATTTTCACAATTTAAGTCCAAGAAAATCCACAAAATAAGGGAATTCGCAGTGGGCTGCGTGCAAACAATCGGCAAAAGACACAAAATCCCGCAACAATTCCAGACGCTTCAGCCGACCTGCGAACTTGCAGCACGACCCACGCCGACCCGATCGTCTGCGAAAAAGCCCGCGCCTTTTCAGTCTGCTCATGCGTTGCAGTTTAGAGTCGAGGTCTGGTCCAAGGACGCCAAAGGCAGCGCGACCTGCTGGTGCCTATTCTACTTGCACGTGGGTAGCGCACGTCGTCCAGAACGGATGCGAGCGCAAGGGGTAATAGAGTATGGATAAGGGAAACAATGGCTACGCACTCACAAACAACTTGTTTACTGGAGGGAAACTTTTGGACTGAGTCTACTCAATGCATGTCTTCATGTCAGGAGGAATCTTCTACGAAACACCTTCCAGATAAAACCTTCCCTGGAAAAGGTATTGTCAACCGCCACCCTTTACTTCATTGTCCACCGTTGACTTGCATCCAGTTTCCAACACGCCCTCCTCCGTCAGTAGTTACTGCGGCAAAACGTTCTTGGTCATCCCTATCATGGTGATAAGTGCCTCAAAACGCGCACTCGCCAGGGGCTCGGTCATCAAGTCTGAGGGATTCACGTCTGTCTTTACCTTCCACAGTTCTACTGCTTTCTTCACATACTGATCTCGAACGTAGTGCCAGCGTAGTTCAATGTGTCGTGTTCTGCGACTGTAGGTCGGGTTTGTAGCCATCACAAAGGCAGCTTTATTGTCAATCCCGAGACGAAACTTCGACACCAACCTTGGGAATATCTCGATTAGAACCTGAATGAGACCCCTCCCTTCCATACAGGCCTCGCAAGCTGCTACATATTCGGCCTCAGCCGTAGATTGAGCCACGATACTCTGCCGTCGTGACGCCCACGATATCGCACCTCCTGCCAAGCAATGTACATATCCAGTAATGCTTTTCCTCGTGTCTGGGTCGTTTCCCCAGTCCGTATCGCAAAATCCCTCAACGGTTAAATCACTTCTTAATTTTCCATCATTGTTTGCGTGGAACACAATTCCATGAGTCTTGGAACCCACCAGATACCTTAACACTCTCTTGGCTGCGCCAATGTGTTGTTGTGTTGGGCTTTGCACGTATCTACTAAGCTGCCCGACCACATACGCAAGATCTGGCCTCGTACATGTTGCCAGATACATCAATGAGCCAATTAGCTCACGATATGGAAATTCTTTGCCATTGTCAGGTATGCGTTTGGCCCTCGCGGTATCCGTATCGTTTACAGCAAGTCGTATGTTTGTTTCCATCGGAATTCTGCTAGCGTGCGCATCTCCAAAGTTAAAACGATTGATAACGTCTTCGCAGTATTTCGTCTGATGAATTTTAATCGCATCATCGCTTCTCTCTACTTGAACACCCAAATAAGTGCTAAGTAGACCTTGATCCTTCATTCCATAGACCTCGTCCAGACTCCGAAACATTTTCGTCTTGAATAATTCATTCTTGGTTGCACACAGAATGTCATCCACGTAGAGTAGTGCCAATACGAACTTAGAACCTGAATCGTAGTAATACAGACACGGTTCTGTAGTGCAACGCTTAAACCCATACCGTAAAAACCACGCATTTACTTCGGTGTTCCACTCTCGACCAGACTGTTTAAGACCATACAGTGCCTTGTGAACAACATATACCATGTCGTCAGTTTCAGAAGGATATCCATCTAGAAAGTCCAAGTACTGCTTGATCCCCAAGGGTGCATTCAGGTAGGCCGTGTTGATATCACCCTGGTAAATGGTCAAGTCCATCAATAGGCAAATGGCCACGAACATCCTGAAAGTCGCCATACGTGCTACAGGACTGAAGGTTTCTCCATAGTCAATTCCTGGACGTTGTTTGTCACCTCGAGCCACAATTCTTGCTCGAAGACGGATAACGTTGCCTAAGTGGTCCGTTTTAACACTATAGACCCACATTGTCTTGATCGCTTTAGTGTCTTCAGGCATCTCTCGTTTCGAAATTAATGTGATCACTCCCTTGGACTTCATTGCTTCCAATTCTTCGTCCATAGCTGCTTTCCACTGGGTTGCATATTTCGAGCACATCGCCTGACGAAAGTTCTTTGGTGTCCGAACATCACTTGCGCGAGTACCGTACGCTTCGCTTTCAACGTTCTTTGGTGTTCTGAATGCAGCGTTAACCGTGAAATCTTCGCGCTGGTTCAGTATACATTGCTGATCATTCTTTCTCAATATGGGTAGACGTGGAGTGATCTTTGCTCTTTTGTGATCCTCTTTTATTCTTTTGTGCTCTCTACTTCGCCTGACTTCGACATCTCTGGGTCTTCTGTGGCCGATCAGCTGATCATTGGCAATGGTCAACGTCGTGGTGCCGTTCACAGCCTCCAACATGTCACTTGGATCGAATAAAGGATCGAATAAACAATCATAATTGTAGTCACTTGCAGCATAGACAGATTCATTTCGAGTCACTTCAGGGTCTGTTATATGTCCAGTATCAGTGAGCTGTCTCTCTTCACCTGAAGCTGTATCATCATCTGCGTCTGTATCATCATCAGCGTTATCATCGTCAGCTGTTTCCTCGTCATTGTGCGACTCAAGTCCGGATTCCGCATCGTCTTTATCGTCGTCATACATATCCGAGTCATTTGCAACTGCTTTGTTGCTATCTGGAACAGAGTCACAATATTCGGCGCGATAATGTGCTGTAGATTCGCTCTCCTGACCTTCTTCTTTGTCGCTACTGCTCGCACTGAAATATTGTTCGCTGGTTTGTCCTTGTGTCTGGACCACTTCTGGTAAAATACTATTGCGTAGCATGTCATTCCACAAGGTTTGGTCTGCCTCATTTAGAGTGTCGGGATCGGATTCAGCAGTCTCCATATGAATGGTACTGCTATTACAATCCATGCTTGCTACAATGTCAGTCAGATGTGACACCTCGGATTCTTCAGAACTAGAATCATTAAATGCGCCCTCCTCAGCGTATTCACTTAGTGTCTGGAGCCACCGTCTGACTTTTGATGTATATCCACTGTCGAAACGATCCTTATACTTTATAGCCTCATTTATCTTGACATCTGACACATATCCTTTCATGTGCTCTGTTGGGAAGTACACATGACAACCAACAATGTTCTCGTGATATCCAATGAGGAATCCCACTCGGCAATTTATGCTCAGCTTTTTCCGTTTCTCTCTTGGCGTGTGACAATAAGTGAGTGACCCAAACGCCCGGATGTGATGAACGTCCGGTCTCGAACCAAACATCAACTCATACGGAGTGCGTCCTGCCCCTTTGCAATACACTCTGTTTTTGATGTAGGCAGCTGTTACTAATGCATGCACCCAAAATGATTTAGGTAATCCAGACTGGTGCATCATGGTCTTCACCATTCCAATCAATGTCTGGTGTGTGCGCTCAACTAAATTTAGTTGGGACGCTTTGGGGCCGACTCTTGTATGCACTATGCCCCTTTCTTGATACCACTGTGCCATTGTACCGTTGCAAAATTCCTGCCCTTTGTCTGTAAGGACTTGCCTCACGAGAGCTCCTTGACTTCGTTGAAAATCTTCACTCAACTGATGAGTAATCACAGCCTCAACTCTCTTGCCAACTTGTCGTTCAGCCCAAGCAATATATTCCTGCATGAATTTGTTGACTTCATTCTCAGACTTAGACTTGAGCATGAAGACACTGACGTAACGTGAGTATCCATCCATAACGACTAGGACGGCGGTGTATGGGGATCCATTGCCTATTCCTGGTATCAGCAAATCGGCAAAAACAATGTCATTAACGTTCGCGATATTTCTATCTAACGCCTTTCGAAATGACTTTCGCCGCTGTTTACCAACATGACAGTCTACACAATCGAATTTCCCACGTCTCTTTAGCATGATACCTTTTGCCAGGACACGATCAACCATCAACCGGATATATTCTGGACACGTGTGTGCCAGTCGTTCATGCCAGACATCGATATCTTCCACACCATCAGTCACTGCAAAGTTAGCAATAACTTGTCGCTTCGTGGTAATGTTTTTCTTGTGCTGTGCAGTATTATTTGCATTTTGAGCAGTAAACGTCCATAGGCGGTGCTTCCGATGTGTCCGTATCACCTCGATATCGTCTTTCGTCATAGTAAATATCTTAGCATTCGGGTCCCATGACATGCTGAATCCTTGGTCCATAGCCAAACCAGGCGAAAACAAATTGCATCCAGCTTGAGGGACGTAGAGAACGTCTTCCACGAACACTGTCACCAATCCTTCATCAACAACTGTTGCAAGAATAATCGTACCAAATCCTTCAGCTTTTGCTTTCGCTCCATTGAGTGTGAATCCGGATATCATTGGATTCCAGTCACTGTCTTCCATACTCTGTAGTACAGTAAAGTATTCCTTGGAGGACACTATGTGGGCATTTTTACCCGTGTCGAAATACCAGTTGCTAGAAGTTGAATCCTTTGACGTCAACTTTGTAGCTTCTCCTATCACCA